CCATGGATTATATTAGAATTCTAGGATTAAAATGGAAATTAATGTGCTAATCTGTTCAGAGTGTATTATTCTGCGTATATGGTATACTTCAATAAAAAATGGAAACGAGAAAGGGCCAGATGCAGTGGCACATGCCCATATCCTAGCACTTGGGAGGCTAAGATAGTAGGAGTGCCATGAGTTCCAGGCCAAGCCTAAATCACACAGTGAGACCCTGCACCCCCACTCCCCCACCCCCCGCAAAGGGAAAGGTAATCAATGGGAGCCATTAGGGACAGTGCCACCTCCCCTCTGTCTTTCTGCTGGAAGCCTCCCACCAGTGCTCTTTGGGCCTTCCAGCATGACCAGCCACTGCCCTTCGTCATCACAAGGATTTTACTCAGGAGCCTGTGGACCAACCTCCTTTATCCGTCCATTTCCCCCAAGTGGTCAGAAGGGCAGGGGTGATTTTTCCCATATTCAGCGCAAGGGAGCCATGGCCAAGGCCATGTGGCAAGTTGGGACCCGGATCTTGCGAGAGGCCTGAGTGCCTCTGTCCTGGTCCTAGCTCCGCTCTACTCCCGGGAGCAGTTTTGACGGTTCCGCCTTGCAAATGTGTTCATGAATCAGATTCCTTAGGCCCACAGACTTAACAGGAGCCATTTATGCCCCTAAGGGGACATCTGGCAGTGTCAGGAGACAGCTGGTGGGGGAGAGGGAGGACACAGTACTGCTGGCACCCAGTAGGCAGAGGCCAGGGATGCCACTAAGAAGCCTGTGACGCTGGAACTCTTAACCCTGCACACTGTCTGTGGGTCCAAGCTGGCGCTTCCACCTTCAGCCAGAGTCCTAGAAAGTCACCATGCCTGGCTCTGTCCTGAACACCATCCTTCCCTGATGAAATCCTTGGGTGCAAAAGGTTCCTATCTCTTCTGAATCACACTGTTGGAAATTATCCCTCTGTTTCTAGCCAAAGGCTGTTGCTTAGCCATATTTAAAAATGATGGAAGCCCGGCATGGTGGCACAGGCCTCTAATCCCAGCACTCAGGGAGGCTGAGGCAGGAGGATTGAAAGCTCAAGCCCAGCCAGGGCCGCTTAGTGATTTAGTGAGATCCTGTCTCAAAAAATAACAAGGGGCTGCGGGTGTAGCTCAGTGTGAAGGTGCTGGGTTCAATCTCTAATACCAAAAACAAAACAAAAACAGTGGAGACCTGAGGGGTCTGAAGACCGTGACCTTTCATTTTTTGGCCGAGTTCCCACCCTGTTTGACCAGAGACCCAGCTCCCCTGAGGATGCCCTGCTGTGGCGACGTGTCTCATCCTAGCTCACTGGCTGTTTCTCTGTGTACGTGTGGGTCTGTCTCTCTCCATCCTCCAGGTCCCCAGGCCCTGACCTGGCCTTCCTGACCTCCTGTCCTGACAAGAACAAAGTCCATTTCAACCCGACCGGCTCGGCCTTCTGCCCCGTCAGCTTGATGAAGCCCCTCTTCCCCAGCATGGGCTTCATCTTCCGGAACTGCCCCTCCAGCCCAGGCTCGCCCCTTCCCCCTGCCGGCCCCAGGGCTCCACCTCGGAAGGATCCAGAGGCCTCCAAGGCCTCCCCACTGCCATTTGAGCCATGGCAGCTCACCCCACCATCAGAAGAGTCCGTGCTTTTCCAGAGCTCCCTGGTGGTCTGAGGGGACACCCCTACCCCCCCCCCCCACTCTGTACCGTGGAGACCAGTGCCTTGGTGGCAGGCCACTCTAGCTTCCCGAGCTGGGGGATGGATGGAGAAGCCCCTCCCTCTCGGCCTTCGAGCACTTTCATTTATTGTGTCAAAGCCCTGGGTCCTCTTTCTGATGGACACCAGCCCCCGGCAATTTGAGGGGACCTGCCTTCTTCACTAGCAGCTGGTGGCTCACAGCTCACACCTGTGTCCCTACCACTTCCCTCCCTTGGTGGACGCTCAGCCAGAAGACCTGGAGACCCCCACCCCAGGGTGTGAGTCCCCATGACTTCTAGGAAGCTCTTGTCATTGTCATGGAGGAAGCTGGTGACAGATTTCCTTCCCTCTCCACCTCCCAAGACAACAGAAGAGCAGACCAGAAGACAGAAACCCCATCCCCAAGCCTCCTCCCCCTTTGGAGGAGCTGACCAAAGTGGCCCTAGACGGCCAGGACACTTAACCAGTTCAGCTGCTGACAGAGGGGCTAACCAAGCATTTTCCCAAGTGGCATTTTCATCTCACGTTCACCCTGACTAAAGATTGTCTTAAGCAGCAGCCCGACCCCAGGTGGGTGGCGAGGAGGGGAGCAGCTGGCAAGTGGTGGCTCTGCTCCCTCCACCCGCCCCAGGGCCGGCTTGGGTTAGAAAAATGCCGATTTTTCTTGTATCGATGTAGAAACTCTATTTTCTCCCAAAGACACTATTTTTGCAGCTGTTTGAAGTTTGTATATTTTCCGTACTGCAGAGCTTACACAAAATTGAAGAATGTTAAAGTTCGAGTTTTCTTATCTTGTGTTTAGAGGTTTTGTTTTTTTTTTTTTTGCAGATCTTGGTGTTAACAGACCAAATAAATAAA